CGGCGCTGGCCGGCGAGCGGGACAAGCTGCTGAAGAATGGCACCGAGGAGCCCTCCTCCTCCTCCTCCTCCTCCTCCTCCTCCTCTCCTCCTCCTCCTCCTCCTCCTCCTCCTCCTCTCCTCTCCTCCTCCTCCCCTCCTCCCTCCCTCCTCCCATCCTCCTCCCCTCCTCCCTCCTCCTCCCCCTCTCCTCCTCCTCCTCCCTCCTCCTCCTCCTCCTCCTCCTCCTCCTCCTCCTCCTCCTCCTCCTCCTCCCTCCTCATCTCTCCTCCTTCCTCCCTCCTCCCTCCTCCCTCCTCCCTCCTCCTCGCTCTTCTTCCTCACTCCTCCCTCTTCCTCCCTCCCCCCTCCTTCCCTCCTCTTCCGCCCGCCGCCCTCTTGGAATGTAGGGGGGAGGTGGGGGGAACCTTTCAAGTCGGGCGGGACGCCCGCTCGGGGGAGGGCCGAGGGCTCGATGGGGGGGGAGGGGGGTTGACGACCAAGCAGAGGAATCCAGCTCTCACCTCCCGCTGAGCATGGCGGTGCTGTCCATAATCAGCGACCGTGCCGATGCAGAGAGAGCGAGAGGAAAGCGGTGCGGAGAGGGAAGGAAGAAAGATGAGGAAGGAGGAACAGAAATAGAGAGGAGGCATAGCTACGGGAGGAGACGCAGCAGCAGGATGAGGAGGTGGTTGGGGAAGGAGATCTTAGGGAGACTGCCGCCTCCCAGCGCCTCAACATGAACAAGTTCGTCGGGCGCACCACCAAGGACAGGGCGAGGGCCTCGGTTGCGTCGGTGGCCCCCCGGGGGGAGCAGGGAGGTCGGAGCAGACGAGGAGGGGCGAGGGCGAGGCGGTGAAGGCAAGGGAAGGGGAGGAGGACGAGGAGGAGTAAGAGCAAGAGCAGGGAGGAGACTCTGGAGACTCTGCCAGAGTCCCAAAACAGTGCGCTTACAGTACGAAGTGCTCACGACCTGTGGCGGTGGGGGCCTCGCAGCTACTAGCTAGCTTCCCGATCTCTTGGGACGCGTACACCCCGCATTGGGAACAACACCAGATCCCCAGCCCAGCGTGGAACCTCGGACGATGGGTTGAACGGGCCCACCCCCCACCAACATTTACCTGCTTGCTCAGGGGGTGTCAGAGCAGGGAGGGAGGGCAGAAGGAGGAGACGAGGAGGTGCGCAGGGCGATGGGAGTGTGGGGGTGGGGCGGAGCACGAGGAGGAGGGGGAGGAAGACGGGAAGGAGGACACGGCTGTCGACGATGAAGAGGCGGAGGATACGGGTGATGATGATGATGATGAGGAGGAGGAGGAGGAGGAGGAAGAGGAGGAGGAGGAGGTGGACGCGATGGGTAGCTGGGACGATCGCGGGAAGGCCGACTGCCAGAGCTGTAGCGACAGCGGAGCAGCCCCTTCGCCCCCCCCCCCCCCCAACACACACACACAGACACACACACACAGCATAGACGCATACACGCACACACACACACACACCTCGTCCTCGCCCTCCTCGTCGTCCTCGTCCTCCTGCCCGCGCTCCACCGCGTCCTCCTCGTCGTCGCCCACCGCGTCCTCCTCCTCGTCGTCTTTCTCGTGCTCTTTTCCTCCCTCCCAGATGCGCCCCAGTTGCAGTACTCCGCCAGAGCTTGGGCCGCAGCACGCCCCTGCACGACCTACACGTGGTCTGAGGGGGCCGCCGCTCGCCTTCTCCTCGCCTTGCTGCGTGCAGGCACGCTCTGCAGCAGCCCTGCTTCGCCTCACCGGCTCGCGCAAAAGCTGTGGTCTGCGACGAGCAGAGTTTTTCCTCCGCCCTGGATGCGCACCACCCCGCGGTCCTTTGCCTGGTGACACGACGGCCGCGTGCCCCCCCCGCCCCGCACCCCTTCCTACATCTTCTCGCTGACGGGGAGCCACTTCGGGCGCCGGAGGGGCTTTGGTTTTCGGCCCGGCATTTCAGTATTGCGAAGGCCTTGCGGCCGGCGCCGCCGACCTTGAAGGGGGACGACGACGACGACGATGATGACGATGACGACGACGACGACGAGGGACCATTTCGGGCGCAGGATGTGTTCTGGTTTCTGGGCCGGCATTTTGTTACTCCATGTGCTTTTCTGTGCTTCCTCTATCGGAACGTCTGCGCCCAGCCTGGGCCCTTGCATAAAACTGGGTTCCCGCTGCAGCCGTAGCCGCAGCTCAGGATCGGTACCCTGCATTCGTCGTTCGGAACAGCGCTTTCGCCCCAGCGCGGGCCGCACTCCTCTGCCCGACCTCCTCCTCGTCGTTGCCGCCCTCCCTTCCCTTCCCCTCCTTTGCCCACCTCCTCCTCCTGCTCCTCCTCCTCCTCCTCGCTCCTCCTCCTCCTCCTCCTCCTCCTCCTCCTCCTCCTCCTCCTCCTCGTCCTCCTCCTGGGTACGCTGGGCTCCTCGTCCTCCTCCTCCTCCTCCTCCTCCTCCTCCTCCATCTCCGAGGGAAAACAGGCACCCGTTTCAGCCATCGATGGATGGAGTCTTGCGATTGCCGCCTTGGGGGCCGATGCCTTCCAGGACACCCAAAACCCAGTGGAAAGAAGAGACCCGTCAACGCAATCCGAGGGGATCTGTGCGATGGATGCGATGCCGGATGTGGCGCACACGCGCGCCCAGTCGGGCCATTCCCCGCTCTTCCCCGTCTTCCTTCCCTCTGCTGCTGGGCTGTCCCTTTGGTGAGAAGAGATGGTTCAACGCAATTAGAGGGGATCTGTGCAAGGACTGCGATGCCCGATGTGGCGCACGGGCGCCCAGTTTGCCACTCCCCGCTCTTCCCCCTTCCTTCCCTCTGCCGTGCAACCTCCTGGGATCCTTGAGTTCGGCGAGCTGGCCCCTGAGCGCATCCATGGCGACGTGGCAGGCGAGGATTTCTGAACTGCAGGAGCTCGGTGTCCCAGCGTACCGAAATCTTTCCGTGCAGTAGTCCTCGCCTCCATGGTCGCCATGGGGACGCTCGGGGGCCAGATCGCTGAACTGAAGGGCCTCGGGGAGCGTAATTACGCCGCTGGGCTTCCCCCTCCCAGCGCCAAGAGTGTGGGTCCGCCGCCTGGGCCGTCCGAGTCCCGCGCTCTCCTCACCGCCCTGGCGCTGGCGACGGCGGGCATGGCCGGCTACGCCGTGATGATCGCCGAGTGGTTCTTGGTCGCCCCCTCCCCGCCCACGCGCAGAGGGGGGCAGGGGGAGGGGGGGAGGGGTACAGTCGGGGCCCTGAAGAAGGAACCCTTTTCGTTGGGGAGGGGCTCCGCGTTCCTTAAGTGTTTCGCAGCCTGCCTCAGGCTTTCCTTCTGTTTTCGACAGGAAATCGAAGGTTAACTTATGGAAAAAAGGGGCCTCGTTCCTTATTTAGGGTTCCTTAGGTCAACGCCCCGACTGTAGGGGGAGGGGGGAGGCCTCTTAGAAACACCCCTGCTTTTCAGAAGCACCCCCTGCTTCATAGGAGGCGCGGGCCTTATTCTCCACAGACGCAGGGCCAGCGCCTTCTGAGAAGCAGCCTCCTCCTCCTAAGAAGCCTTCCTCCCTCCTCCTACCCCCTTGTGCGCGCCGCCAGCCCCCGGCTCCCCAGACCCCCTCGCGTCGCGAAAAAATCGTGACGGGAGGCTTTTCGCCGTGTCCGGCCTCTGGGGGCCATTGCCGGGCCTCGCGGCCGTCCACAAGCGACTCGTGGCAACAGACCGGTCCTGGGGAGTGGGTCGAGACCTCTTGGGGGTCGACGCGGTGAGAGAATCATGACGTCGGGTGTCTGGGGGGATCGGCCCGGCTCGGAGGAGAAGCTCGCGGGAGCCAGGGCGGCAGGGGCCGCGCAGGCGGCGCGAGGGAGGTCCGCACTGCGTGGTTCGCCGGTCTGGGCCGTGGCTTTGATCATCCAGGACGGTTCCAGAGATCCGACGCTCTAGAGCAATCGGAGCGGGCGGTGTTTCACCGTTTTCGGCCTCCGGGGCCCTCGCCAGGCCCGGGGGCCGTCGAACAGCGGCGCGGGGCGAGAAGCCCGCCGTGGGGAAGTGGTCCAGAACTCAGGGGCCCACGCATCGAAAAAGTTGGAGCAGTCGGATGTCTGGGCCGTCGCACCCGACGAAAAACCACAGCCGTGCGCCGAAACATGCTCCACTGTTTGGTGACGACGACGACGATGACGCCGCCGCCGCCGCCGCAGACGACGACTACGGCGACGACGACGACGACGGCGGCGACGGCGGCGGCGGCGCCGATGCCGTCGACGACGACGATGACGCCGACGCCGCCGACGACGACGACGACGACGACGATGACGGCGACGACGGCGGCGACGACGACAACGTCGATGACGCCGCCGCTGCCGACGACGACGACGACGACGACGACGACGACGATGATGCCGCCGCCGACGTCTCCGCCGCCGCCGACGCCGACGACGACGACGCCAACAACGATGACGACGACGACGACGACGACGACGACGACGACGACGACGACGACGGCGGCAACGACCGCGGCGGCGGCGTATCCGTATCCGACGCCGTCGGCGACGACGACGATGACGCCGCCGCCGACGACGACGACGACGACGGCGGCGGCGGCGGCGGCGACGACGTGTGCGACGACTACGACGACGCCGACGCCGACGCCGACGACGACGGCGCCGACGCCGTCGACGACGACGACGATGACGCCGCCGCCACCGCCGCCACCGACGACGGAAAAACGACGACGGAAAAACGACGACGAAGACGCCGACGACGCCGACGCCGCAGCCGCCGCGGTTGCTGACGACGACCACGACGATGACGACGACGACGAAGACGACGACGACGACGACGATGACGACGACGACGACGACGACGACGACGACGACGACGACGACGACGACGACGACGACGACGACGACGACGACGACGACGACGGGGGCGGCCGCCGACGCCGAAGACGACGCCGACGCCGACGCCGACGCGGACGCCGACGACGACGTCGGCGGCGACGATGGCGGCGGCGGATGCTGCGCCGACGCCGTCGGCGACGACAACGACGACGACGATAGCGGCGACGGCGACGACCTCGGCGAGGACCATCGAGAAGCATGATGGGTCACTGGACGGAGAAATGCACGCACGAAGCCGAAAGATGCACGGGGAACATGCGTCCGAGCGGTAGCGAGAGGAAGAAGGAGCGGTGGCATCATTGCCAGAAGCAGGGGAGCGGGCAGGCGGAGCGGGAGCAGGAGCAGGAGGAGCAGGAGAAGAGAGAGAGAGAGAGGGAGGAGCCAGGGCAGAGAAGGAGGAGCCAGGGCAGGGGAAGAAGAGGCGGGAAGAGGAGGAGGAGGAGGAGGAGGAAGAGGAAGAGGATGAGGAGGAGAAAGAAGAAAAAGAAGGTTGTGAAAGGAAGAGAGGAGACTAGAAGGAGGAGGAGGAGGAGGAGGAGAAGGAGGAGGAGGAGGAGGAGGAGGAGGAGAAGGAGCAGCAGCAGCAGCAGGAGGAGGAGGAGGAGGAGGAGGAGGAGGAGGAGGAGGAGGAGGAGGAGCAGCAAGATGAGGGACTCGCACCCCGCAGGCCTTCCACAGCTCCCTTGCGCAGACGATGGTCGTGCTGGTCGTGCTGCTGTGCCTCTCGGCCGGGCTGACCGTGTGCTCCGCCCGCAGGGCACTGGGAAAGGCGCCGCGCGGGAGGGAGGAGAGAGTCCAGCAGAGGCGAAGCGTCCTGACTTGCCTACATGCCCACCAGGTGTCGCCGCGCCGTCCGTTCCGACGCGCGGTCCTACATACGTCTTCAGGAGGGCGCCTCGGCCACCAGGGCAAACGCCGCCTCGGACGCGGTGGGTTTGCCGTGAAGTTTGCCGCGGTGCCGGCGTCGTCCCGTTTGGCGCGGGGCACAGACGTTTCTTGGAATATCATTGGCTGGGTCGGTTCGCGGCGGTTTTCAGGCCTCGGTGTGCTCTCTTGCAGCTGTGCCACTCCGAGGGGGAGGGTGGGGGGGTGGGAGGACCTCGAAGTTCACAGGTTTCTCACAGTACAGTTCGCCGGTTCTCTGGGGAGGGGGGGGGGTCTCGAAGTTCGCAGGTTTCTCACAGCACAATTCGCCATTTCTCTGCGGTTTTTCAGCCTCGGGGTGCTCTCCAGCAGCTGCGCCTCGCCGAGGGGGGGGGGCGTCGAAGTTTGCATGTTTCTCACAGTTCGTCGGTTCGCGGAGGTTTTCCAGCCTCGGGGTGCTCTCCAGCAGCTGTGCCTCGCCGAGGGAGGGGGGACCTCGAACTCTGCAGGTTCCTCGCAGTCCGTCGGTTCGCGGAGGTTTTCCCGCCGAGGGGTGTGGGGGACCTCGAAGTTTGGTGGTTTTTCTCAATTGATTCATTCTCGTTGGTTTTCCAGCCTCGGGGTGCTCTTCAGCAGTTGGGCCTCGCCGAGGGCGAAGGGGGGGGAACCTCGAAGTTTGCAGTTTTCTCACAGTTCGTCGGTTCTCGGCGGTTTTCCAGCCTCGGGGTGGCGCGAGGTGGTCTTGGTCGTTTCGTCTGAGACATCCTCGCAACTCGGGGCTCCGAGATGTCGCGTGCGAGGTGGTCCGGCTCGTTTCGCCTGAGACGTCCTCGCAACTCTGCGCTCCGAGCTGCCGCCCGCGAGGTGGTCCAGTGCGGCTAGACATTCTCGCACCCCTCAGCTCCGAGCTGCCGCGCGCGAGGTCGTCTGGCGCCTTTCGCTTGAGACATCCTCCCACCCGTGAGCTCCGAGATGCTGCGCGAGAGGTGGTCCAGCTCGTTTCGCCTGAGACTTCCTTGCAACTGAGCGCTCAGAAAATGTGCGCAAGGTGGTCCGGCGCGTTACGCTCGCGATATCCTCGTAACTCGGGGCTCTGAGATGCTGCGGGCGAGGTGGTCTGGCCCGTTTCGCCTGTGACATCCTCGAAATTCTGGGCTCCGGAAGGGGAGAAGAAAGGAGGAAGGAGGGGCCAGACCCAAACAAACCGTTTGATCACACTTCTTTTGTCGAGTTATGCTCTGGGAGGGGTCTGGGCGCCGCCGGAGACATCCTCGGAACTCTGAGCTCCCAGACGTCGCACGCGAGGTGGTCCAGCCCGTTTCGCCTGAGACAGTATCGCAATTCGAGGCTCCAAGATGCTGCGCGCAAGGTGGTCTGGCGCGTCTCGCCTGAGACATTCTCGCAACTCCGTCTCCTTGAAGGTGCGCGCGGGGCGATCCATCTCGTTTCGCCCGAGACATCCTCGCAGGTTTGGGCTCTCCGAATGTGTGCGCAATGGTGCTCTGGCGCGTTTGGCTGGAGACGTCCTCGCAGCTGGGCTCCGAGGTGCCGCGCCGGAGGTGGTCTGGCCCCTTTCGCTGGAGATGTCCTCGAAGTTCTGGGCTCCGAGAGGGAGGAGAGGGGAGGGGTCGTCAGGCCCAAAACGAGCCATTCTGTCATTTCTGTTGTCGGACCTGTGCTCTGGCAGAGAGATCTCGGCGGCCCTGGTCCGACGGAGGAGGTATAGCTGGCGCCGAGGCGCGGAGCATGATCTTTCTGGTACACTGCAAGCGCGGCGGGCAGGGAGGAGACAGGATAGGGGGAGGAGGCAGGGAGGAGGCACGAGCTCCGAGATGCTGTACGGGGGGGGATGCTAGAGGAGGGGGACGTGGCCAGGCTCACACGGCTACCTCTGTGAGGGGCATCCCTGACGAGGGTGCCTCCTCGTAGCGGCGCTGAGAGTGCGGAAGCATCCCTGGCATGGCGGAGGAAGCGGAGAAGAGGAGGGAGGAGGAGGAGGAGGAGGAGGACAAGCAGGAGGAGGAGGAGGAGGAGAAGGAGGAGGAAGAGGAGGAGAAGGAGGAAGAGGAGGAGAAGGAGTGACGAGAGGAGGAGGAAATGGACGGGGAGGACGAGGAGGAGGGGGATGAGGAAGAGGAGGAGGAGGAATGCGAGGAAGAGGAGGAGGAGGAGGAGGAGGAGGAGGAGGAGGAGGAGGAGGAGGAGGACCAGTGTAAACCCAAGACTTATCAACGATATTGCAACACAACCTCCCTCAACGTTTCGTCTTCATCGGCCCCTACAATGATTTATTTTCACGGAGGGAGGTGCCCCGTTGGAAGACAACCGTTTGAACATCCAGAATGGCGCCAGAGCGCCATTCCTGGGAAATCAACGCGTCGCGAAGCACCGTAATAGCTGCGTCTTGACGATCCTGAATCGTGCCAGAGCGCCGTTCCCTGGGACTTCAAGACCGCGGATCAGCGTGACTATGGCGCCCTGGCGTTCCCGAGATCGTGCCGAACCGCATATCTGGCACGTGAACCATGAGAATCCTGGATGGAACTGCTGCGAACTCTTGTGGCGAATGTGCGATGCGCTAAGGCGAGCATCACAGTTAGAAAAGGAGCCACCCTCCACCAGTGAAACTCTTGCAAACTTTGATGACGTATGCGCGCAGAGCTAAGACGAGAGCGACCTTTTTAAAAAGACCCGCCCTCCATCAGTCAAGCTCTTGTGAAGTTGTGATGCGACTGTGGGCGGCGCAAAGGCGAGAGCCACAGTTTGAAAACGGATCGCCCTCCATCCGTGAAGTTCTTGCAAATGCTTAGCTTAAGGAGTATCAACTGGCACGACGTCTCAGGCGAAACGCCTGGTCCGCCCTTTCGACCGGCCTCGGGGTGCGACCAGGAGTTATTCATCAGGAAAAGGAGTAGATGAGAAAGGGGAGGGGAAACATTTCAAAGAGAAGGGCGGAGAGGAGGAGGAGGAGGAGGAGGAGGAGGAGGAGGAGGAGGGGAGGAGGAGGAGGAGGAGGAGGGGGAGGGGAGGAGGGAGGAGGAGGAGGAGGAGGAGGAGGAGGGAGGAGGAGGAGGAGGAGGAGGAGAGGAGAGGAGGAGGAGGAGGAGGAGCACTGCGAAGTGGAGGAGGAAAAATGCAAGCAAGAGGTCGGTGACCAGGTAGAGGATAAAGATGAGGAGGCTGATGATGAGGAGGAGGAGGAGGAAAAAACGACGAGGAGAAATAGAACCAGGAGCATGAGGAGGATGTTGTATGAGGAGGGGGACGGGGAGGAGTGAGATGAGAGATACAGGAGGAGGAGGAGGAGGAGGAGGAGGAGGAGGAGGAGGAGAAGGAGGGGGGGAAGGCGAGGGAGCGAGGAGGGGGAGGAGGAGGAGGAGGAGGAGCAGGAGCAGGAGGCGGAGAGGGAGGACGACCAGGGGGATCAGGAGGATCAGGATGAGGAGGGGGACGAGTAGGAGAAGGAGGAGGAGGAGAAGGAGGAGGAGAAGGACGAGGATGAGGAGGATGAGGAGGAGGAGAAGGTTGTGAAAGGAAGAGGAGACTAGAAAGAGGAGGAGGAGGAGGAGGAGGAGGAGGAGGAGGAGGAGGAGGAGGAGGAGGAGGAGGAGCGGGAGGAAGAGAGAGGGGGGATGAGGATGAGGAGATGTAGTGGAAGGGGGAGGGCGAGGGCGAGAAGGAGAATTTCGCGGATGCGGGCGAGGAGAACGACGACGACGACGATCACGAAAAGCTAGACGACGACGCCGAAGGCGCAAGCGGGTCAGGGCAATTCAGCAGAAAAATGGGTCTGGGGCTCCAGTCGTCATTTTTCGCGATGCTGCATTTTTCGAAACGTCGGATCTCAAGGAGGGTGAGATTGCATGGAGTTTGAGAGGGACTCTTAAGTGTAATGGGGGGTTCGAGCATTTCGACGAGAAAGAGGAGGGAAAAGAGGAGGCCGGCGCCGCCTGTGGCTGCTTGTATTTCTCTGCCTGGACCTCGTGCTCCGTCGCTCGCGCGTTCGAGAGGCAAACCTAGAATCCTAGAATCACCCGCCTCCTCTTCTCTGCCTGATTCTTCTCTTCCTCCTCCCCTTCCTCCTCCTCCTTCTTCTCCTCCTCCTCCCCCGCCTCCTCCTCGTCCTCTTCCTCCTCCTCCTCCTCCTCCTTCTCCTCGTCCAGCCCGAACGCGGCACGCTGAATTCCGCCCAGAAGCGCGCGACACGCCGGCGTCCACGTCAGCAGCGCTGCGACCCAGTGGCTGGATTTCGCGTCCGCCTGCCAAGGCCGCCCGCGATCCGATTCGGTGCGATTCGATTCCTCGGCTGTGGCCGCGGTTGCGACCCGAACTGGCAAGGTTCGATTCGCTGGCATCGGCCAGGGCCAGCCAGGGCCGGGCACGGCGATCCGAGTTCGATTCGATTCGGGACGATTCGCTGGCGATCCGATCCGTTGCCCATCCGATTTCGCATTCCGATCCAGCTCGGGCAGACCTGCTTCGCCAGCGTCCTCTGGATGCCGAGTCCAATCCAGTCCCCCTCCTCCCCGTGGCGAGCGGCCCGAGAACGCCGCCAGGACCGCCCCTGGCTCCGCTACCTGGGCGCGCTCCTGTTCGTCTCCACTGTGACCGGTGCGCTGGCCGGATTCCTCCTGTACTACAAGTACATCGGCTCCCTCCCGCCATTGAAAGAAACACGCGCCACGGCATACACCGAAACTTTCGGAGTTTCTCTGGGCGATCTTTTGCTTCACGCTACCGCGCCAGTCATGCGGTAGTGAGATTCAGTGGTCGCGCGCTCCCCATCTCCCCAGACATCCCGCTGCTCCAATGTTTGCCGATGCGGGGGGCCCCTGAGGTCTGGACCGCTTCCCCGGGGCTGGTCTTTCGCCCTGCGGCGGACGCTGACGGTCCCGGGGCCAGGTGAGGACCCCCGCGGCGTCGGATCTCTGGGACCTCTCCTCCCGTTTTTCTCTTGTGTGTTATCGTGTTGTTGTTATTATTATCATTATTATTATTATTAGTATTATTATTATTATTGATATTATTATTCGTATTATTATTATTGTTAGTATTGTTATTGTTATTATTCTTCTTATTAGTATTATTATTAGTAGTAGTATTAGTATTAGTATTATTATCCATTAGTAGTAGTAGTAGTAGTAGTAGTAGTAGTAGTAGTAGTAGTAGTAGTAGTAGTAGTAGTAGTAGTAGTAGTAGTAGTAGTAGTAGTAGTAGTAGTAGTAGTAGTAGTAGTAGTAGTAGTAGTAGTATTGTAGTAGTATTGTATTAGTAGTAGTATTAGTAGTAGTAGTAGTAGTAGTAGTAGTAGTAGTAGTAGTAGTAGTAGTAGTAGTAGTAGTAGTAGTAGTAGTAGTAGTAGTAGTAGTAGTAGTAGTAGTAGTAGTAGTAGTAGTAGTAGTAGTAGTAGTAGTAGTAGTAGTAGTAGTAGTAGTAGTAGTAGTAGTAGTATTGTTATTAGTATTATTGTTGTTATTATGATTCGCATCATTATTATTAATATTATTCGTATTATTAGTATTCTTAGTCTTAGTTTTAATTTAATATTAGTGGGAAAAGAAGAGAACCAAACACAAACACAAGACAACAACAATAAATCCATAAAAAACGGGGGCCCGCGCGGAGTTCTCTTGCCGCCGCAGGACGGGGGCGGGCGGGCCTCCGCGGGCGGGCCTGCGGGAGGCGTGCGCTCGCGCCGTCGTGCTGGCCTCGCCGGCCCCCGCACCTGGGCCGGCGAGGGGGGCGGAGAGGCGGCGGGCCGGGGCTGAACGAGGCGGGCCACGGGCGGGGCCAGCCAGCGCGCTGGATCGTGCAGGATCCTGCAGAGCCAGGGCCTCCTCGGCCTCCCCGGATCCTGGACCGTGCAGGATCCTGCAGGATCGTGCTTGCCTCCCCGGCCCCCGCACCTGCCCAGAGGTCCAACGCATCGAAAAAATCAGGACGGAGGTGTTTCGCAGTTTTCGGCCTTTATAGGGGCCCTCGCCAGGCCTCGGGACCGTCAAAAAACGACTCGGGAGCAAAAACCGGTCCTGGGGAATGGGTCGAGACTTCCGGGGACCCCGTACTGAACAAATCACGACGTCGGATCTCTGGGTGGGCCGGCGAAGGGTTTCGGAGGCGGTGGGCCGGGGCTGAATGGGGCGGGCCACAGGCGGGTCGACTAGGCGTATAAGAGTGACCTGTCGCCGGAGTGACCTTCGGTGCGGGCGCAGATGGGTCCCCGGGTGGCCGAAGACGAAGCACTGGCAGCTGCTCGTGCGCCCAGGTTTGGTCCCCCCGCGGCCGCCCAAAAGTCGCGCACCGAAGGTCACTCTTGCCCGGGGTCACTCTCGCGTGTAGCCGAGCGGGGTCAGCCGGAGCGCCGGCTCGTACAGGATCCTGCAGCGCCAGGGGTGCACTGACCTGGGGCTGGCGCGCAGGATCCTGCAGGACCTTGCCAGGCCTGGCTGGCCCGGGCTTGCATCGACCCGGGTCAGAGCGTCTCCAAGTGGGGGGGGGAGGCGAAGGGGAAAAGGTGTCGATACCGCTCCAACTGCCAGACCCCCTCGCGTCGTGACAAAAATCATGACGGAAGGCTTTTCGTCATTTCCGGCTTTTGGGAACCGGCCTCGGGACCGTCAAAAAAAAAAGGCAGGGTGAAAAATTGGTCCTGGGAAATGGGTCGAGACCTCTTGGGGTTGACGTTGTGAGAAAATCATGACGTCGGGGGATTGCTGGGTTCCTTCTTTTCCCCCCTTTTTGGGCCTCCCGAGACGCCCTCGTCGCAACGGCTGGATTCGCTTCGAAACCTCGGTCAGGCAGCACCCCGGGTGAGGTCTGAGGAGCAGCGGCATCGGTACCCTGTGGTGTCTCCAGGGGAGGCGCAGGGGAGAGGGCCAGCGCAGGCGCAGGCCAGCGCTCAAAGTGCCAGCGAGGGCGCTGCACGCGATCGTGGGTCTGCAAGGCTCGCCACGCGGGCGCCCAGCAGGGGAGCTGCATGCGAGCGGCGAATGGGGGGGGGAGGCGGGGAGGGGTGGAGAGTGTGGGGAAGGGCCACTTCCACCATCTCTATCCTTAGCTGCCTCGAAACACCCGTTTGGGTACGCAACACGTGCCGTGCTCAAAAACTCCGCGCCCATACGTTGCGTGTGGGCTCAGCGTATCGGCCCACGTTTTGGCGAACGTATCGCCTTGTACCAACGTTTTCGTTCTGCGTGCTGAGCTCCGTATCAGTACGCTACGTGTTGCGTGTTGCGTATCGGGGCAGCTAAGCTCCCTACCCATCCGAGACCCCCCCCTCCGAGACCCCCCCAATCTTCCCTCCGAGACCCCCCCCTCCGAGACCCCCCCCCTCCGAGACCCCCCCCCCTCCGAGACCCCCCCCTCCGAGAACCCCCCTCCGAGACACCTCCATCATTTTCTCCCACCCATCCGAGACGGAATCCGAGACCCCCCCCTCTTCCCAGCCCAGCCCCCTCTTCTCTGTCGCCCTCCGCTCTCCCGTCGCCCTCGCTCGCGCTCTCCCCCTTTCCCCTCTCGCTCCTCCCTCTCCTCCTCCTCTCCTCCCTCCTCTCTCCTCTCCTCCTCCTCCTCCGCCCGCCTCCGCCTCTCCTCTCCTCTCTCCTCTCCTCCTCCTCTTTCTTCTCCTCCTCCTCCTCCTCCTCCTACTCCTCCTCCTCCTCCTCCTCCTCCTCCCCCTCCCCCTCTTCCTCCTCCTCCGCCTCCTCGTCCCATCTCGTCCTCCTCCTATTCCTCATCTTCCTTTCCTGCGCGCCCTCACCGCCGACCTACATACACCTTTCCCCCTTGCAAATCCTTTTACACTTGCCATTGCATACATACTACTCTCCTCCCCATGATGTCGCGCTGGTTTGAGAACGCACAATTGTGAACTGTGGTTCTAGAATAGATGGATCCGAATTGCTCGTTCAACATGGTCTCTTCCCATCTTCATCATCACCACCATCATCAACACCACCACCATCCTCCTCCTCCTCCTCCTCCTCCTCATCATCATCACCATCATCATCATCATCATCAACATCAGCATCAGCATCATCATCATCATCATCATCATCATCATCATCATCATCATCACAGTCATCATCATCGTCGTCATCATCAGCAACAGCATCATCACTGACATCATCAGCAGCATCAGCATCACCGTCATCATCGTCGTCATCATCAGCATCGTCATCATCAACATCACCATCATGACCACCATCACCATCACCATCACCACCATCGTCATCACCATCATCACCACCATCATCATCGTCGCCATCATCACAATCATCAGCATCAAAAGCATCCTGGTCATCACCATCAACACCATCATTATCATCAACACCACCATCCACAAGATCAGCCGCTCACCATCAGCATCATCATCATCAGCATTATCATCATTACCACCATCAACATCATCATTATTATCAGCAGCATCCTCATCATCAGCAACGTCATCATCAGCGCCACCACGCCCATCCTCCTCTTCATCAGCATCATCATCATCGTTGTTTCCATCATAATTTTCATCATCAACATAACCATCACCATACCATCGCCATCATCACCCTTCATTACCATTAGCGTCATCATCATCCCCACCACCACCATCATCATCAGCAGCATGATGAGGATAATCATCACCATCATCACCATCACCATTACCATCGCCATCAGCAGCATCATTACCATCAGCACCACCATCGTTATCGTCATCCGCATCACCACCATCAGCATCACCATCATCTTAATCATCATCACCACCGCAATCATCATGATATTCATCATCAACAGCATCACCATCAATCTTATCATCAACATCAGCCGCATCGTCATTATCATCATCAAACCCATCATCAGCATTGCCATCGACATCATCATCTTCATCACTATCATCCTCATCACCACCACACACATCATCATCAGCACCATCAGCATCACTATCCTCGTCCGAACCATCATCACCATCATATTCATCAGCACCAGCATCAGCATCATCATCACCACACTCATCACGATCATCATCACCATCATCATCAGCAGCAACACCATCAACACAGTCAGCATCACCATCACCATCATGACCACCATCATGACCATCATCATCATCATCACCGCCATCAGCATCATCATCATCATCATCATCATCATCATCATCATCATCATCATCATCATCATCATCATCAGTATAATCATCTTGATCACCATTATCATCATCAGCATCATCATCATCAATGTTGGCTCATGCCAGGTGCCTGGCCCCAAAGCCGTCGGTTCAATGGGCGGGTGGCGGGTGCATGGCACGGCTGGTGACGGGAATTGTCCCTTTCGAGGTGGCACACATTGGCAGTTCGGCGGCGCGACGCGCGCGACGGGTCAGGACCGCTGCAGCTGCGGATGGCGCAGTGCGGCGAGCGCGTGATCTGTCTGCGCACCTCGCCGAGCGTATGCGAATCGCAGACGAGGCTCTTGGTGCCATCGCGGGCGGCGACGGCGATCTGGCCGACAGGGTCCACGCCGTGCTGCCTGCCCTAAGTCAGCTCACCTTGGGGCAGCAGCCCGAGTGGCTAAAGCGCCTTACGCGCAACGTGGCGCTGCACGCCGGGGCGCGCAGCCTGGCGGGCCGCATCGGTCGGGCGTCGGCGACGGAGCTGCGCGCCGCCGCAGGTGGACCACGGCTGGGTTGCGCCGAGGCCCCGCCCTTGCCCATGCCGCAGGTGGCAGTGCTCGCGGGCGACCTGGAGGCCGCCCTGCCCGCGCTTGCCGCTGCTGCCGTGCTGGCCCTGGCGGCCGCCCCTGGCGAGGCCCCGGGGAGCCGCTGCTGGCGCGGGGCTGCGGCGTGTGCGGGTCGTCATCGGGGGCGGCGCCGTTTCCGCGCAGCACGGGGGCGCAGCGGGCGGCGTGCCTCGCCGAGCGGCCGCCCGCGGGCGAGCCTGCGGCTGCGGCGCTGGCGGTCGAGTCGGCGATGCGCCGCGAGGCCCGGCCCTTCGCCCGCCCCTTTTTCAGAGCTCGACCAGCAGACCGAGGGCATCGTGCCGCGGTGCGGGGGGCGCCCCTGCGGGGGGCGCCCCCTGCTGCTGCTGAGCGCGATGGCGCGCACCGCCGCGCCCCAGGGCCCGCACGGGGGATGACTGCCCTGGCAGAGGGGCGCGGCGGAGGTCGAGGCGGAGGAGAGAACGCCTTCGCATCAACGAGAGGCTTGTGGATCTGCAGCGGTGGTCGTCCTCGGAGCGTCTTCCGCTACATTTGTCCGCCGCCGTGAGCGCTTTGACTACAGCCAGGTGCGGGCTGCGGAGCTGGAGCAGTGGAAGGCGTCGGCAGCTGTGTCGTCCACAGACCGTCGATTCGTTCGGCGACTGGCACTGCAACACACACGTGCCAGCAGCAGTGAGCCTCTAAATTCGCAGTTCTTTTCTTCTCCGCTTAGACAACGCAAGCGAGTGTCCTGTTCGTGTGGCTTGGGATGTACGCGTCCTTAGATGTTCGACATCACTCTTTGGTCATCTGCTTTCTGGGCTTCGTCCATAGGTGGCGAAAGTGGCGAAACCTCGTGCGGCTCGTGGCGCCACCTTGCGTCGAAGTGCGGCCTCGCGGGCAGGTGGCGGGAGTGGCGAGTCCCCGTGTGGCTCATGGCGGCACCCTGCCGCGAGGGTCCCTGTGCTTCCCTTCCCTGGTGATGTTGGAATGCAGCTGCTGGCGCCCGATGCGGCCCCGCCGAGCGCGGCGCCCACCGTGCTCGTGGCGCCAGGCGGGCCCAAGGATCGCGAACGCCTGCGACGAGCTTGCCGCGGCCTTGCTCGAGCGTGTCGCCTCTTCCGCGCGGCGGCGATTCCCCAGATAAAATACATGCGACAAGCAAGTCTCCAGTTGGAGACATATCAGTTGTCACACTGATAAGAACAGATACTTCACTTGATCATAGCCAAAAGGCCGAGAAGGTATGCTCGAAATTGCGCGTCCGCCACTAGCGCCGCCGCCGCAGCTAGAAAATGCTCTGCCCCCCCACGGGGGGGGTCCTCCCTGGGGGGGGCCGCCGCTGGTGTGGCAGCGGCGTCTGCCTGGAGCCTGGCAGGTCTTCGCGGGTGCCTGGTGGGCTCTGCCCGACGCTGCGGGCGGCGAGGCGCCGAGGTAACCGTTCGGGCTCGGGCGGCTTTGGGGCCAGAGCTCCATGCTGTCTTGGGCGCAGCGGAGCATCACCATCATCAGCATCAGCATCAGCATCATCATCATCATCATCATCATCATCATCATCATCATCATCATAATCATAATCATAATCATAATCATCATCATCAGCAGCAGCAGCAGCACCATCATCAGCAGCAGCATCATCGTCGCTTTCGTCGTCGTCCTCATCATCACCGTCGTGATCTTAGGCATCATCACCATCATCACCTGAGATGACAAGTTGTGATACGGTTGGTGCGTTCGCCATTCGTCACTGTCACCAGAGAGCCTCCGTCCAACGGAACGACGCTGTCGCCGCAGCGTCTTCTTAAGTTCTATGATTACACTTGGACTTCTTACTCTTATTTCAAGCCTGGTGTTTACCGCCACTTCTTCGGCTACCAACCCAACATGATAATCAGTCTCCCTCCCCCTTCCTTCCTCCCCTCTGTCTCCCTCTATGTCCCCCCAGCTCTTGGCTCCCTGGGTGAAGGAGTTGTTGATTAGTTCGCCCTTTCGGGTGCAAGGTCTTTCCCGACATTCGGCCCTGCGAACAGAGAGGGGATGAACGCAACGGGAAGGAATGTGAGAGAGGGGTAAGACGTCAGATATGGCATATGGCGCGATCTCACTTAGCTTGCCCCTTTCCTCTCTCCCTCCCCCGTTCCCCCAAACACTTTTTGCTCTCGTTATCCCGACTCCCTATTGTCTCTCCTCGGCCTCATCTTGCCCCCCCTCCCTTTCCCTTCTCTCCCATTCCTTCTTCATCCCGCCCTAATTCGCTTCGCAAAGGGGGCATGTTCATTTTCACCCCGCCCCTCCCTCCCGCCTCGCCTACGTGGTGGTTGGCTCGGGCGAGCCACGAGGGGGGACGCTGTAGCTGCCACGTCCTCTGTCATCCTCTTTAAGATGTTCGACCGCTCCTGGAGGTACCACGCGCACGAAAAGCAGCGCAGTGCGCGATTGCACCCTGAACGCCGCCCTTGGGCGCAAGAGGTTGGCCGGAGTGCGGCGCCTCTTTTGGCACAAGGCAGAATGTCTGCCTCGAGATCCGATGTCGCGAACAAAGGTACAGCATCGCGACAAGTCACGGCCGACGCCCTAGATCCAATTGTTCTACAGCATATGCGAGTCCGGATCGACCTGTGCTGGCCCTGGGGCCCGGGCGAAGACGCCCAGCGTGAGAAGATTGCAGGGCCCCGCTCGCACGACGGGCAGGGAAGCGGGGCGTGGACTTTGCTGCAGGGGGGGGGCCGCTGGGCCCAGGCCCGCGCGGAGCGGTGGCGGAGCTCCTGTGCCTGCTGGGCCCCGTTCTGCTCCGCAGCGCCCCTCGTCTGTCTCCGACCGCGCCGCGGTGCCGCGCTGCTGCGACCAAGAGAGGGTGGCCTCCAGTGGATTCCACGGGTACGTGCCGCAGGCTGCCAGGGCCCGGGGCGGCGAGGGGGTGGTTCTGGGCCGCCCGCCGCGCGCCCTGCCACGAGCCAGCCCTCGTGGCGACGGCTCTCGGCGGGCTTCCCGCAGGACAGCACCCCTCTCCTCCTGCTCACCGTCCTCGCCGTCCTCCTGCGGGTCCTCATCCTCCTCCTCCTCCTCCTTCTCCTTTTCCTCCTCCTCGTCCTCCTTGATTCCTCCTTGACTCCTCCTCCTCCTCCTCCTCCTCCTCCTCCTCCTCCTCCTCCTCCTCCTCCTCCTCTCCTCCTCCCTCCTCCTTCCTCCTCCTCCTCCTCCTCCTCCTCCTCCTCCTCCTACTCCTCGCCGATGTTCCTGTCTCCTCGTCATCATCCTGCTCCTCTTTCCCGTCCCTCCTCTTCACTCCCATTGCTTCCTCTGGTGTTCCTCCCTCCTTCCGCTTCCCCCCTCCCTCCTCTTCCTCCTCCCCTTCCTCTCCTCTTCCCTCCTCCTCTTTACTCCCCATCTCTTCTCCTCCAAGGAGTGCCGCGCCTTCCGATGATACCCTCCTCTTCTGGTGAGCACCCTCTTCCTCCCTCGATCTTCTTGTTTGTTCATCTACCTCCTCCTCCTCCGAAGAGCATTCTCCTTTGTGCATCCGCGAGTCTACTATTGGAAGTACAGCGAGATGCGCACCTACACTAACGTCGCCGCGGCCCAGAGCTCCGTGGCCTTCCAGGACGGTGAAGAGTGTGCGTGTGAGAGAGAGAGTGGGAGGGGGCGGAGGAGGGGGAGAAGCGGAAGGTGTGTGTATGTGTGTGTGTGTGGGGGGGGGGAAACAGGAAGAGGGGAGGAGACGAGGGAGGAGTTTGGGGAGGAGGCGCTGGAGGAGGAGGAAGTGGATGAGGAGGGGGAGGAGGAGGATTAGGAGGAGGAGGAGGAGGAGGAGGAGGAGAACGAGAAGGAGGAGGAGGAGGAGGAGGAGGAAGAGGAGGAGGAGGACGGAGGAGGAAGGAGGATGGAGGAGGGGGAGGGAGTGCTAGGGGGGGAGGAGGAGGAGGAGGAGGAGGGAAGGGAGGAGGGAGCAGGAGGAGGAGGAGGAGGAAGAGAGAAGGAGGAGGAGCGAGGAGGAGGAGGAGGTAGGAGGCGGAGGAGGACGAGGACGGCGGAGGAGGAGGACAGCTGTGCCCGCCGCTCATCGGGGACGAGAACGCAAGCGCGCGGAGAGCGAGAGGGAGGAGGAGGAGGCGAACGGAGGAGAGGAGGGGAAGTGGAGGGGGAGAGGGAGGGGACGGGGGGAAGGGGGGGGGAAAGAGGGATGGGAGAGGAAGGGAGGGGGAGAGGCAGGGAAAGTGGAGAGTCTGGAGCTTCGGTTGGTGCAGAGAGGGAGGATTGAGAGGAGGGTATGGAGGTAGGTGGAGGGAGGGGGTTGGAGGGGAGGAGGAGAAGGAGGAGATGGTGGAGAGGAGGGATATCAGGGGGAGGAGGATGAGGAGGAGGAGGTGGAGGTGGAAGAAGAAGAAGAAAAAGAAGAAGAAGAAGAATAAGAAGAAAGAAGGAGGAGGAGGAGGAGGAGAAGGAGGAGTAGGAAGAGGGGGACGGGGGAAGGTTGGGTCCTTCTGGCTGTGCCGGGTCTGTCTCAGGGGCTCCCGAGCGAGAGTCCCGCCTCCCGGGGGCTCCACGCGGGCCATTTGCGCTCGTTGGCTGCGCGCGCATGCCGAAATCTTTCCAAAACGTTCATCGTCGACGCGTTGGCGCCATCATCGTCATCTGCGCGATCCGCATCGGCGCCGTCATTGGCCTTGCCATCGTCATCGACATCACTGTCGCCAGCATCGCTACCATCACCATCGCGTCTGGCTCTGTCGGCGTCGCCATGACACCGCGCCTGCCCGAGTCACCGCCCCGCGCTGAAGTGCCCGCGCGTCAGCGCGGCGTGCCAGACGCGTTCGGAAGTCCTGAGCGGCCAGCCTCGCCGCGGCCGCGCCGATCGCGCCAGACAAGCTGGCCGCTCTGCGCGCGAGCCTGCCCGCGCTAGCGCGGCCGCAGCGATGCGCCAGCCAGCGCCAAGCAGTCATGGCAATCGCCGCCCGATGAGGTTTGCCAATGAAGTTGCGGGCGGGCGGGTGGGATAACTGCGCGAGCATGAGGGTTCAGAACTCATTGCGAACAAAGAACACTACAAAAAACACCACAGACAAATACTGCACCACAGAATTTGCATAACATAACCTCAAGGGTTCTTTTAATCCCCCCCGCCAGTGCTGGGAAACTGCAAATTTCTTGCGCGGGCAGATTGACGGATTGGGGCCCCTGCAACGTTGGAAAAATAATTATCCCCCGCGGCGGCCGCCGCTGACAATCGGGGGGGGGCGAGGTGATGATGGGGACCCCCGGCGGCGATGGCGACGATGATGAGGGGAAGGACGAGGAGGGGAAGGACGACTGTAACTGCCAACCGAGAGCTTAGGGGGGGGCCTTAGCATGAAGAACGTTCGGAGTTCATATTGCACCAGACAGGGCGCGCGACATATATTGCACCGCGTAGAGTGAGCCACGTAGGTTGCACAACATTGTCTCCTTTTTTACAAAAGCATTCGGATCGACCTCCCCCCCGATTTAACCGACTGTCATTGTGCGTTGCCGTTTCCATATGATTCTGCCCCATCGCCCATCCCAAATATGATCTCGTGCTGTCCCAGGCAGTCCCTTATCGTTTCCCTCGTCATCCTCTAGAAAAAAGTATGCACGCACACTCGTTTGTCACAAGTCACAGTCTCAACATACTATTTGGCAACATAAGAAAGAAGAGTGGACGGGGCGTAGTGCGCGCGCGCGTCGTCGCGCGCGCGCATGCCGGAATCCTTCCGCAATTGTGTGGCTTTCTCAAAATCGAGCGTTTCGAAAACATTCGAAAAACGGATTCTCAAGATTGCCGTATAATTCTTTCTTCCAACATGTTCATCACATGTTGGCAAACGTGCTTGTCGCGCGCGCGTCGAGTCATTCGAATGCCCTTTCGCGCGTGCTGTCGCAAGAACCCATTTGCAGAACAATGGGTCGAGTTGCGCGCGCTCGTTCGCACGCGCATGCCGAAGTCGGTAAGAACTTCGGGTGTCGCGCGGATGTCAAAATCGAGCGCCCCGAAAACATACGCAACACATGGTTTGGCAACATCAGTTTCCCTAAACGGGTCTGCGCGCGTTTTAGTGAATCTTCAAGTAAGCAAGCGCGTTGTGCTTTGTTCTTCAACCGTTTCAATTTCGACCCAGCAAGACTCTCGCACCGCATTTCGAAATCAATCATTCGAACGACCTCTCGCGCGCTGGGGGGGGGGGGGGGGGCGCCGACCCCTGTCAAACAAAACCATGCGGGCCACTCGCGCGCGTCGGCCGCGCGCGCATGTCGAAGTCCTTCCAAAACTGTCACTACCGACGCGAGGACACCGTCATCGTCATCGTCGTCACCAGCATCGCTGTTATCATCATCGTGTCTACCGTTGCCGACGTCGCAGTGACACCACTTCCGCCCAAGTCAGCGACTCGCAGTTAAGTGCCCGTTGGGAAATCCCCAGCGGTCAGCGCCAACGTGGCCGCGTTGGTCGCGCCAGACTGGTCGGGCGCTACGCGCGCGATCATGCGAGGGGCAGCGCGGCCGCAGAGATGCACCAGCCAACGCCAAGCTCCCATCGCAATCGCCGCCCCATTTGGGTTTGGCAAACCAGGTTGCAGGCGGTTGGGCGGGATGGTTGCGCCACAGTGGAGTTGACAAGTCCAAGTTGTTCAAACTGAATAGCACCACGGAGACTGCACCTTAAAGCGTACACGGCACAGATTGAACCGCATAGAGTGCCCCACGCGGGCTGAACAACATGTAGTGCACCACATGTAGGTCACAGCAGATACATTCTCTCCTTTCTGAAGAGGAAACATGATCTCCTCTCTCCCCGCCGTTTTATCGGCCAGGCTCTGGGATGCGCAGTGTAGTTATGATTCTACCCCACTGGCCATTCGAAATATGAATTCGTATCATCTTCATCCCTGGGAAAAACAATGCGCGTACACTCGTTCATCAAACATCATCCGTTTGCAAGAGGTCTTGCAACAATAATTGGACGGAGTGCGGACGCGCGCGCCGTCGCGCGCGCATGCCGCAATCCGTCAAACGTTTGGTTTGCGTAAGGAGTTCAAGTTCGAACGCCCCCAAACATATAAAACAACACGTGGCTGCCC